TGTTGGAGGGTTTTATTACGATGGGAACCTGAAAACTCTGGAAAAAGAAGACGACTTTTATACTTAATTTTTGACTTTAAAAAGTCCAATGAACATGAGCCACGTCAATTGTGCAGCGTAAACAGACCCATTTTCACAAAATTAGTGATTTCATAAGTAAACTATTTGCTTTGTAACAACATCAAATATGCTTTGACTACGTAATGTCGTCTTCCTATTCCATTGTTTTCTGCTTATCACTTTACCATGAACTAAAGCATGAGAATGGAGTAAAGAGTAATGAGTTTCAAAAGTTCTGTTGGAAGGTTTATGTAAAGGAATTGAGTTTTTGCCACAACCTCAAATTTTCTAATTTCTATATCTCTGCAACCAGTGGGTATAAACCTTTGATATTTCAAACTTACAGAATTAATAGTTGGAAATATCTTAGGTCTACGACATTGGGTGGCCAAGATATAGGGATAAGAATATTTGAGTTTGTGGCAAAAACTCAGTTCCTTAGTTTAAGGCAAAGGATGGATACAAGACGAGGTGAAATGTTGTGTCTGAGTGTGAATATAGTAGTTAAAATTATCTAAATATTATGTATTTTTTTCTATAACTTTGTTAAAGTATAAGGTATGTGGGGGGGGGGGTACTATCTGTAATCCACTGTGAAACAGAATAGTCTATAAAGTATTAAAGGGTTTATAGATAATCCTGAAAATAAAAATATTGTGCAAATATTAAGGCAGGAAGAAAGTATCTAATCATGTGCAATCCATGAGATAATTATTAATTATATTTTATAATACATTATAGTGTAGGGTTTTCCACAAAAGATAAATCTTTAGAGCCGATTGTAAAGATTTATTTAGTATTTATTTGTCAAATTATTAAGTTTATCGTTGAAAACTACAATGCAGATAGTTTGTAATCCTAGATTTTTAGTCCTCATTAAATTATAATCCTTTTGTGCGTACTTAATTCCCAATTTATCTTCGGGCACTCTTTATTATTTGACAAGAACGACATAACGTTTTTTATTGTGTAGTTTTCATCGAGGCCGGGAGTAGCTAGTGCAGGGTGGAAGGTATATGACCTGAGATTCCAGGTGAATTTGCCTAGACTCTCCTCGACACAGTTATAAAGACCAGGTTTCTCCACAAACACACACAACCACAAACACCGACAATTTGTAAAAAAATAAAATGTTTTTGTTGAGGCTATAAAATTGATTTAAACTGATATTTTTAGAAAATTTACTAAATGTTATTTTCTATAAGATTAGTCAATTGTTTAACAAAACCTTTCAGTTTGGTTTCAGTGCTCAAGGAGTAAAGACATTGTCGTGCTAATGTTTCATAGTTACACTACAAGTATACAACAGGTTTAACGTAAACCTAATTCTCATTTTTACTTAAAAAATCAAATTTTTCTAAATATTTAAAATTTCCCATTGTTTGTAGAAATAGGACAGAAATTGCCTCTGGCCTAACATGAGGTAGGAAATCAGGATGAATTGTAAGAATTGCAAAATTGTCCACTGTACATAAGACTTTTGAGTTTGATAATACACCTAATGTACTGTTGGGTGATGTTTCTTTAAAAAACAATAAAATCCTATTTTTGATTTTAACTAATGTCGGCTGATTCTTTAATAAAAAACTCTCTGATTAAAAGTATTTACATTTAATCTTTATACAGTCATTGAATAATATAAATTAGTTCACACCACTTAGTATTTCCTAATGCAATAGATCAGAGAAAAATTTGATAAATTGATCGCTGATTCGATAAGTCAATGATCGACTAAGAAGTAAGAAAAGATGGCAGCAATTTGTTCTTGGTAAATAAACAAACCATCAAAAGCATTTTATCAAACTCCAGCTTGGAAACCCAGCTTTGAATGGAAAAAATATTTTCTCAGTAAAAGTCAAACTACTCAATTTAGAATTTGTAAACCAAGCTAAGAACATTCACGTGGTTCTACTAGTTCCCTAATCAATATTTGAAGCTAATCGGTGCAGTGGTTCTTGAGTTATGATCTGATCTACAAACACACAAACAGAGACTAATTCTTAATTATATATATATAATTACATATATCTATATATACTACAGAGCGTCCCATATCATATTAGATTATCTTCAATCTTTAACACCAAAATAAACCCTTAATACTCGAAAAACTTTTCATTTTCCCCAAGAAAATTCTTGTATAAGACTTATGTTATTTTTCAAAATGATTCATTCTAATGAAATTTTCTAATTAGTCCCGAAAATCGTAATTTAGACCCGTTCTCGGTCTAATATGATGTGGGACACCCTGTATATATATAGATAACAGATGGAATTATAGTGTATCCTGATCAAACCTCATGAAACCATATTGCATCGCAGTAAGAACCAGAAAACAGTGAAATAGAAAGTCGATGTTTTTTGTCCAATCAACTATTTTAAATTATAAAAAAAATAAAGCCAAGACCTTTTACCTACAGGTTAGAAAGGTAATGAAAGTTTTCAAAACAAAGTGAACAAATGGATCTACTTGTATTGCCTGGAAAAAGATATTAACTTTTTGATATTTAAAATTATTTAAATTTTGATAACTATTTAATAACTATTTATAAAACTGTTATTTTGGTTCGCAGTGCTATAAAGTTTTTGGACAGAAATTCTCTCTTCATCGAAAAGGTTCAAGCCCTTTTTAAAGCTCGGGACGAAATATAATCTGAAAATGAGAGAAACTTCGAGATTTTGGAAAATATTTTGGAAATATCCTAACTTTTTTGAGAAAATCCGGGAACCAATCAAAACTTTATAGCACACGCGCTATAATGTACAGCTAATTTAACTTTATAGCACGATTGATTACTTTATAGCACGTTTGTTATGAAATTCACGATGAAGTGAGTAAGAATGATAAAGCACACAATAACTTTTTAAATAATTGCTTGATTATAAACTGAAATGAGGTGAGGTAATGACTCAATGCATTAACAAACATAAATATACTACTCTAATCTGCTTAATCATTTAATCAAACAATTGACCTAAGTAAATTAACTAAAAAATCTAAAAACACGATGTGTTCAGATCTTTCTTTATAATACACCAAAGGAAAGGAGTTTTCACACACGCTTTGATTCTTTTAATCCTAGAAGTTTATATTTTTGCAACCCGATGAAGTTGACCTTTTTGAAAATTTCAAATTCGTTAGAATTCTAATAAGATTTGTTAGTTTAAGTTTGGAATATCGAAGGTTTACATCTTCAGATTGCAAAGATATATAGAGATTAGACTACTTGAGTTTGTGGCAAAAATGTTTGTTTCTTTCTACTGCTCCAAGCTGTAGAGGAGAAACCTAACTATTAGTTAGTAATATCAAAATGTTCATATTTTTTAACAAAATGGTCTTAATTTTTTAAATGTTTCGAAATTTTTAACAGAATTCTGTTATAAATCTCAAAATTACATTTCATTTGTGTTGTGTGTTGTGTACTGGAAACTATATTTCTATAATTTATCTATTTATTTTTATTCCCATTGTACAAGACAACTTTCAATTCTTAATTTTGCACTCTTTCGCAATTAAAGGTTAAATGTGTCATTACTTGCAAAAATTTTGCATAAAAATGCATTATGCCAATATTCCAGTTCTGCCACTTTTATTTCCATTTTAAAATGTGTTTCAATTTTGATCAGGTCTGGGATTTTTTGCAGTTACCTCCTAAAAACAAATTTATCTTTTTTTCAATTTATTCATTTTGCTAAATTTTAATCTTTTTTGCATCTTTATCATTTGCAAAAACTTAAATCAACCTTGAGAGATTAAGGAATTAGGATTATATTATACTTCTCGCGGTTTAAACTGTAGAATTTTTTTCTTCATGTAAAAAAGATTTTTTATTTACATGTTACAGATCCAGGAAGCTAAAACATTGCAGATCCAGATCCAGGGAGCTAAAACATTGCAGATCCGGATCCAGGAAGCTAAAACATTGTAGATCCAGCTCCAGGAAGCTAAAACATTGTAGATCCGGATCCAGGAAGCTAAAACATTGCAGATCAGGATCCAGGAAGCTAAAACTTTGCAGATCCAGATCCAGGAAGCTAAAACATTGCAGATCAGGATCCAGGAAGCTAAAACATTGCAGATCCAGATCCAGGAAGCTAAAACATTGCAGATCAGGATCCAGGAAGCTAAAACATTTCAGATCCGGATCCAGGAAGCTAAAACATTGCAGCGCCGGATCCTTTTTTTTCAACAATTTTTCAAGTAGCAAATTGTGATTTTAATGTTATTAGTTAAATTTTAAAAAAAAACTTGAATGTGAGTATTCTCCATGACCTCCCCCCCCCCTTCTTTTCCCAACCCTTGCATTGAACATTAAAATGCACATCAATCAAAGCTTTGAATTCAGGTTTTTCAAAATATTTGTCTTCTCTCGGCTTTTTAAAGATAAATCAAACTTATCTATGTATAAAAATATTAAGGCCGGTTAGTTTAGATATTTTAGAAGAATATTTTGATGAAACTTATCATTATTTCTCAGATATTATTTATTCTTCATTTTGACTTTAAATAAGGGGTGTGCTAAAATTTCTTAACTTAATCTTTTAATGTAATTGAAAAACTTGGTATTCAGCTGCATATTTAAGGTTTGTATTTTTACTATTGATAGCAGACACAGTCTAATATTTACTATAAAGTAAAAAACCTACGACCTAACGACCTATAGTTGTACCTAAATGTTGTTGTTAAATGAATAAGAAATTGGCCACAAATTTAACTTATTCATGAATTACCATAGATCGTATCTATCTATCTACACTGCTCTGGTAAAGCGTAACATAGTGACAGTGTAACTATGGTTCAGCATATGTTAGAACGTCTAAAAAATTGGCCATTTGTCTCTCAATGAAAAGTCCTTTTATTCAATTGCAAGGTATTTTTACTCATACGTTTCAGACTCAGAGTGCATAGTATACAAAATCTGTGTACATGTGTACAATTCTCATTTAAACAATGTAAAACATTTCAAAAGCAAACTTTCAGAATTCTTGACAATGCGAGCAGCATTGAAATTGGTTGAAAGAGCTGCTCAGCTGCAGAAGAAAACTCTGCTCCAAGGAAGCAGCTGTCTAAAAGGAGCAGCTGCTGGTACCCAGCAGCAGCAGATCCGTCAGCTAGGTCAGGATGCTGGAAGCAGCTCCATCTATACTCGACAAACTAGATCAGTTTCCCTAGGCCCATCTTCACAGGTGAATACTTGTTAATTTAATTAGACGCTGGCTTGGCTTGACTGCCCGGCGTTGCCCGTGGTTTTTCACAAATTTCTGGGATATACGAGGGTTCCCCCAAAAATTTGCCGATTTGGTTCAGACTTTTTGTCCAGCTATGGCGTACATATATATAAATATATAAGAGCATAGAGTTTTAATAAATATCTAGCTTGCGAATCCATGCCTTTGCCTGAAAACTTAACCTTCGCTATTAAACTTAGAACATTTTCGGGGTTCTACAGAGTTCCTCAATCCAAATTTGGGCAAGAAAATCTGTCAAGGAGTTCCTGAGTTCCTGAGTTATGATTGGATATACAAACAAACACCAAGACAAGAAAACAGAGATTACTACTTTATATGTATATAGATACATCAATATAAGAACAACCATATACTCTGATATTGGACGAATTGGACCCACTTAACATCAAAAGCAAGACTTTGGATTAAAATATGTAAAAAAAGAGCCCCAAAGTTAGTATACCTTAACCTAAGTGCTTCAAAAAGGCTTCAAAAACTGCCATCTCCCTTTTATTCTAGAACACCCTGTAAAGTATGTTTATATATTTTATACCACTTTTTTCCCAGGGTCAACAGCAGCAGAAGGCAGAAGCTACTGTTTCCCCCAGAGAACTAGTGGATAGAGATCTTAATACTATGTTTCAAGAGATTCATCAGGTTAGAGATAGAGATAGGTTAGCTCTATAGAGATAGGTTAGTTCTAGGGATAGGTTAGTTCTGAAGATAGGTTAGTTCTAGAGATAGTTTAGTTCTAGAGATAGGTTAGTTCTAGAGATAGGTTAGTTCTGGAGATAGGTTAGTTCTAGAGATAGGTTAGTTCTAGAGATAGGTTAGTTCTAGAGATAGGTTAGTTCTGGAGATAGGTTAGTTCTAGAGATAGGTTAGTCTATTATCAAATCAAAACACCGGAATCATATTTGCTTAATTTTAGGAGTTAGAATATCAACTTGAGGAGAATAGTGAACTAAGAGACATGGCAAAATATTATTTTGATGGACAAGGAAAAGCAATTAGGTGAGAGGTTTTTCCTTTCTGATAAAATAGGAATTTTAACTATTTTTAACACACGTGAATTTAACGGTTCTGTCAATATTTCAGAAAGCTGTGACTTTTGATGACAATTTGACCCCTTTTACATAATTTTATAGACTTTTTCTGAGATTATTTTTTGTTGGCATATACATTTGGAATAAAAAAGTATAAAATGAATTAATCTGTAAGTTTAAGGGGTGTTGAATTATAAACCAAAACACGTTATATTTCAAATATAAGAAACCGAATGCTTCTCTCTCTGGTTAGTTCGGGGTGGTGCTATAAAGATTTTTGATGCAAATTATCTCTATATCTCGAAGGTTCTCGCCTTTTTAGATTACAACTTGTTCCGAAGAACAAAATATAATCTAAAAAGGTTAGAACCTTAGAGATACAGAGAAAAGTCCAGCAACTTTGACATGTCTTGCCAAAATAATAGTGCTTTAGGAAATTTATTTGATGTTTGTGTACTTTTTAATGCAATGATTATTTATAGATAAAAGAAGCTTTTTAACAAAGCAGAAACTAAAAATAAAAGTTAAGTTCAATTTTTTTCATTAAGTTGAACAAAATATTCTAAATTATTGCAGAAAATCCGGGAAACAATGAAACTTAGCAGCGTGCGTGCCAAAATATAATGCTAATCTAATATCACAGCACGATGATTACTAGAGATGGAACCTCTATAATGTATTTTACTATGAAGTGACCATAAGTGCATGATAAAGCACACAAAAGTTTCATAAAAATTTTATTTTGACTTAAACATTTTTCTAGTTTTTTTTTAAATTTTTAATCAATTGAAACTTGAATTTTTTAGACCTGTGATTGCATTGTGTGTTGGACACGCCTACAACGCCCACAACGGAGCGGGTAATTAGCATCATCATAGCATCATTATTTCAAAATAGAGTCTCAATCACAAGTGGATTTTACCTGAAATTCCGCGCAGTTCCGCGCCATTCCGCGCAATTCCGTGCAACGGCCAATTTAGATTGGAAACCCTACTATATACGAAATTGTTTTTCTTTTTGAAAATTCAGTTTTTTAAATCTTTTGTTACATTCTTTTTTTGGACCAAACGTGCATAAACATTAATTTTTATTGGTCATACCTTTTAGAACCTAAATTTTAAAGATTTCGTCTAAATAAGAAAAAAAGACTGAAGTTTTAAAAAGTAAGTGTGAAATTTAGCGATGTAGACTGTACAGCAAAAATTGTCTTATGTCTGAGGTCTAATGATAACTGTTACACTTTGTTTTGAAATTCATATTTCACAAACATGCCCTGTACATACTACAGTCAACTATGTACAACGTATCATATTACCACTGTACAAAATATGTGACGACGGTCACGCTTAGGAAATCAGACTTGCAATGATCTTTAGAATTGACGCTGCAGGATGTTTGCAATTGTTATTTTCCATGATTGTCAAATATTTTAACAATTATGATCCCATTAAACTCTTTTTATTAAATGTTCACTTTTAGATGAACTTTACCGAACAATATGATTTCAATAAAAATTTGAAGTTTATCTGAAAGGGATTGTTCACCAAATTGAAGTTTATCTGAAAGGGATTGTTCTTGAAGTTTATCTGTAAGGGATTGTTCACCAAATTGAAGTTTATCTGAAAGGGATTGTTCCCCAAATTGAAATTTATCTGAAAGGGATTGTTCACCAAGTTTGAAGTTTATCTGAAAGGGATTGTTTCCTAAATTGAAGTTTATCTGAAAGGGATTGTTCCCCAAATTGAAGTTTATCTGAAAGGGATTGTTCCCCAAATTGAAGTTTATCTGAAAGGGATTGTTCCCTAAATTGAAGTTTATCTGAAAGGGATTGTTCACCAAATTGAAGTTTATGCAAAAGGGATTGTTCCCCAAATTGAAGTTTATCTGAAAGGGATTGTTCGCACTTTGGAAAATATACATTTTTGTAATCAAAACAAGACACACATCATGCAAGCTTTCATGATAAAAATTTGCCTTTTTTGCTCTCATGCATTTTGATTTACTATTTTTTACATGACATTTTTGAAGAATGAGATTGTCCTGAATCTTGTTGAATGGTATTGCAATTTAATTTTCAAATTGGTTCACAACCCTTTCCAATAATAATTTATTATTTCAGTTGATAACCTTGATATCAAGAAGAAACAAAGACTTGTAGCAATAGTTAGTGAGATGATTCATACTGCCAGCCTTGTACATGATGATGTATTAGGTAAGTTCAATATAAATCTATGTACAGTGGGACCCATAAAACTGTGAAATAGGAAGACTCTAATGAATTTACACTGAGCTCTTCAATGAGTTAATCCATTATAGAACTTAACTGGGAGGGAGTTCAAGCCTATTCCTTAGTGGATAAGGGTTGACGGCGATTATTATTATTATTTTATGATTTGAAATAGTGCAATGAACAAAAAGAATAGTCATTTTTCAGTGTATAAAGTCCTATTTTAGTTAACAAGTTCATTTTAAAATTATTTGCTTTATTGCTACTACAGATTTACCAAATCCTCGTCCTATTCCACAGTTTTATGTGTACATGTAATTGAAAATTGCAACGGTACAACGTAATATCTGTTTGTATATATGACGCAGGCTGCAAACTTTATGTGTTAATTTGTAATTGATAATTATGAATGCTAATCATTATATAAAAATGAACACTAAGGGTAATGGAGTGCAGGTGGATAGTAAGTTAAATCTTATACAATTTTATTTGATTCTAGCTTGGGGACCCAGCTTTGCCTGAAAACTAAACTTTTGGCATTTAAAGTCAACCCACTTAAATTTGAATTTTCTAAACAAAATTTGAGGTAAATCGGTCCATGGGTTTATGAGTTATGATCTGAAATACAAACAAACAGACTAACAGAGATTACTACTTTATTTACATGGATTTCTAAAAAATATTTTCTGATTAAGATCACGCTGAGACGAGGCGAGGTAAGGCTAGCGTGAACATGGTCTGGAACTCCCTCAAGTCAACCCACTGTGGAGACTATATCCTAGCTGTCTGTAGTAGACTAATGGCTAAAATAGATAATACGGTAATTCATTATTAAGATGTATATTCTAGATGTATTGTACTATCCTAGCTGAAGATAATACGGTAATTTATTGTTAAGATTTATATTCTAGATGTACTGTACTATCCTAGCTGTAGATAATACGGTAATTCATTATTAAGATGTATATTCTAGATGTACTGTACTATCCTAGCTGTAGATAATACGGTAATTCATTATTAAAATGTATATTCTAGATGTACTGTACTATTCTAGCTGTAGATAATACGGTAATTCATTATTAAGATGTATATTCTAGATGTACTGTACTATCCTAGCTGTAGATAATACGGTAATTCATGATTAATAACTATATTCTAGATGTACTGTACTATCCTAGCTGTAGATAATACGGTAATTCATGATATATTCTAGATGTACTGTACTATCCTAGCTGTAGATAATACGTAATTCATTATTAAGATGTATTTTCTACATGTACTATACTATCCTAGCTTTAGATAATACGGTCATTCATTGTTAAGATGTATATTCTAGATGTATTGTACTATCCTAGCTGTAGATAATACGGTAATTCATGATTAAGAACTATATTCTAGATGTACTGTACTATCCTAGCTCTAGATAACACGGTAATTCATTGTTAAGATGTATATTCTAGATGTACTGTACTATCCTAGCTGTAGATAATACGGTAATTCATGATTAAGAACTATACTCTAGATGTACTGTACTGTCCTAGTTGTGGATTATTACAGTACTTTTTCTTTGAACATCCATTCTAAAATTGTTTCATTCAGGATGATATTGTACTGATGTATCTTGTACATAATGTCTTGTATTCTAGGATGTTATTGTACTGATGTATCTTGTACATAATATCTTGCATTCTAGGATGTTATTCTACTGATGTATCTTGTACATAATATCTTGTATTCTATGATCTTATTGTACTAATGTATCTTGTACATAATATTTTATATTCTATGATGATATTGTACGGATGTATTTTGTACATAATATCTTGTATTCTATGATGTTATTGTACTGATGTATCTTGTACATAATATCTTGTATTCTAGGATATTATTGTACTACTATGTATTGTACATACTATTTTATATTCTAGAATGTTATTGCAATTCTCTCTCGTATACAATGTACATAATATCTTATATTCTAGGAAGTTATTGTACTACTGTCTCGTGTACTTACAGATTTAGTACAAGGAGAACTGATGCAAATGCAGAACAAGGAATCCTTTCTAAAATATTTTCACCATATTTTGGACCAGCTTTTGCAGCAAATCAATAAATAAAACAAAACAAAAACATTTAAATGAATGAATTTGTGGATGAAAAAATTCTTCTTCTTTTAAAAAATATTATTTTGATATTTTTTAACTTTACAATCGTGCCATTATTTTAGTAACAATTTTTACTTTCAAAGAACTGAGCCTTTGCCACAAACTCAAATTTTCTAATCCCTATACCTTTGCAACCTGATGATGTAAATCTTTAATATTTCAGACTTTTATTTGATCAAACAGAACTCATAGTTTGAAATATCTGAAGTCTGTGACATTGGGTTGCATAGATATAGGAATTAGAAAATCAGAGTTTGTTGCAAAGACTCAAATCCTTAAAGGGTAAAATCAATGTTATGTAATTAGAATTGTAAATGGCATTATGGAAAAACATGATTCCGAAATGAATAAAAAAATTTACTAGCAAATAATAAAAATTAAAGAATCAAAAAAGTTTAAATTTTTTTTTGATAAACAAACTCTATTCGTTCTAAAAAGAAAAGAAAAAAATCAATGGACATGGAATAGGTCAATGTAGAAATAAATGAATAATGAGAAATAGCATGGATAAATAGATGAAAAATAAACTAATAGGTGAATAAATGAAAGGATGAATGAAAGTTGAAGAGAATGAAAGGTTTGAGACCTAAAATCTTAATAATGAATGATGAATAATAGATGAATAAATGAATAAATGAAAGGATGAATAAAAGAATGAAGGTTGAAGAGAATGAATGGTTTGAGGTCAAAGAGTAAAATCTTAATAATGAATGATAAATAATAAATGTAAATGAAAGGATGAATGAAGGTTAAAGAGAATGAAAGGTTTAGGCCTAAAATCTTAATAGTGAATAATAAGAAATGAATAAATGAAGGGATGAATAAATGAAAGGATATATAAATAGGTGAATGAATAGGTGAATAAATGTATAGGTGAATAAATGAAAGGATGAGTAAAGGTTGAAGAGAATGAAAGGTTTGAGGCCTATCTACAGAAATCCTTCAACAAGACCGCCAGCCTGATGGCCTACTCGTGTCAGGCTAATGCAGTTCTAGCAGGTTCACATTTCATCTTTTACTATATTTTTTTTAACACGTACACTTATAGAGCTTACGTGTTCTTAATCCTGTAGGCGGTCTAGATCTTAATACTGGGGGGCGGGGCGGGCTTTTTTTTCTTATATTTAGAAAAATTATCAACCATTTTTACAAAATGATCAAATAATGGTCTATGTAGACAAATTGTCAACCAATCAACCATTTAGACAAACTGTCAACCAATCGACCATTTAGACCAATTGTCAAATAATCATCTATGTAGACAAATTGTCAACCAATCAACCATTTAGACAAACTGTCAACCAACCATTTAGACAAAATGTCAAACAGTCTTAAGTATTTAGACAAATCGCAACCAATCAACCATTTATACAAACTATTAACCATTCAGACAAACTATTCACAATCAACAATTAGAATAAATTGTCAAACAGCTTCATCTGTTGACAAATTAATCAAAAAACTGTTAACTAATCAACCATAAAAAAACTCGTCAACTATTGGTCGATTCATCATCTAATTGTTCAGGTGAAACCTTAGAAAAGTCCCACTCAGCATTTCTTTACGGAAAACATATTGGGATTGCATTCCAACTCGTCGACGATCTTCTGGATTTCGTCTCTTCGTCGGAGCAGCTTGGAAAACCTGCGGCCGCCGATCTAGAGCTAGGGCTCGCCACTGCGCCAGTTCTCTTCGCTACAAAGGAGTTTCCTGAGTTAAATGATATGATTGCAAGAAGATTTAGGTAACTAGACTTAAACAAATGTTTCAATATTTTTAGGATTGAATTGATTAAAATAAAAACATTCTATTTTAATATAATTGAGGTTAAAGTCATATTTACAAACTTTCGATGAAACTTAAGTTTTCTCTTTTCTAAATTCATATTCTCCCCCTCCCCAATAGCATTTAAAGGGACTGTCCTTGTAATTTCAAGTGTCCCTTTATTTGAAAAAAGGGGCATATCCGGTTCACGAAGACATCTTTTAAACCTTTAACTGTGATCTCTATGAATGGAGAGTCACTTGAAATTACGTCTACAGTCCCTTTAAAAGATTGCATTATGTCTACAGTCCCTTTAAAAGATTGCATTATGAAATAGCTATTTTCTTCAGTGAACCTGGAGATGTTGAGAGAGCATTCGAGTGCGCTGTGAGCTCCGGAGGTCTGTATTTTTTTAATAAAGAAAATAATTTTTGATTTGATAATTTCAATGTAAAACAAATCCTATAAAAAAAGAATAGAAAAATCATTTAATTTTACACTTTTAAGGTGATTAACAATTTTAAACCGAATGGTTGTCGTCTTCGCATTTTTTTATTAAAAATACCGTGAATGATTTTCCAATTCTTTGAAATCTCCCTTTCAGGATTTTTTTTCAGAAGAAAAAGTGAAGACGACAATCTCTCTTTTATTGTCATCACTTTGAATTTTAGAATCCGGCGTAAATTGCTTTTGTTATTGCATTAAATATATCAAATCAATTTCAGGTTTGGCTGAAACTAAGAAGTTGGCCGGTCAACATTGTGAAGCTGCGCTAGACGCTATCAGAGACCTTAACGATAGTATTTACAAGAATACGCTCTTCACCATCTGCGATACTATACTCAACCGTCTTAAATAGAATCTGTTAATCAATCAAATCACAATTTTGTTTTGTTCTACAATATTTCTACAATTTACATTATTCTACTACTTATATACACATTTAAACATACGACCATATATCTTATATATGTATTTAGGGGAGTATATATTGAAGGGGCTCTTGGAACTGCCCCCCCCCCCCAGTTAAGTGAGAACTGTGATCCAAAACGGGGGGGGGGGGGTTAGGTCCCCAACCCCCCCCCCTTTTTCCGGAAAGTTAATAAAAGATGAAGACCCCCCCCCCCCCGTGGAAAAATTTCTATTTACGCCCCTGAACACAGTATTTTCTGGTTAATTCTAAAACGACAATTTGGACAAAACAAAAATTGCAAATAAATGCTTCATTGAATAATGCAACTGGGGGTTTTAAAAAGAAGGATTAGATTAATTTCCGTTTGACATAATTTACATGGGATTGCGTAATTTCAAGTGACCCTTCATACAACGATGGCAATGCCCGATTCACAACCTTTCATACCTTAAAAACCTTTATCTTACCAAAAATGTGGAAGACAACGTCGTTTTTTCTAGTTTTAAAAGTGTTTTGATTCTGTATAATTCCTATATATATATGTATTCCTTCAGTAGAAATTTGTTTAGTGAAACTGCACAGTTAAAAAAAATCAGTTTTCAAAGTTATAATCGTATATATCTAATTGATACTTGATCAACAAAGCTTTTAAGGGTACCGTTGTTTATCAGGCATTGTCATCTTTGCATGGAGGATCACTTGAAATTACGTTTTAGTTCCTTTAACATAAAGATGTTCTCTAATTAGATTTGGATTTTTTGTAAGATTAAACAAATTTAAATTTAAGAAATTTCAAGATATATTTGATATTTCTTCCTTTAAATATTTTGTCTTCCTCTGTAAAATACAAAAAAATCACAATAACAATACTACATTTTCAGTTCAATTACCATACATTGCCGGTCACTCCCCTTAATCATGAGCATAATTTATATACATATATAAAACAGGTATTATATTGAGGATATATCCATCAAAACTTTGTTTTCTCAATTATTCTTTAATTAGTTTCTAAATATGTTTTCACTGTATACACAACTATAATTATCAAAAATGTTGTCTAAAAGAATCTACAAATAAATATATATTATATATCATAAGTTTAAACGTAGTTAGTATGCCGGCCCGATCATAATTATCATGAACCATTTAACAAGAATTTTGAATCACTACATACATGGTTTATTTGATATTTTTAAAGTCGAAATAATTACAGAAGTTTATTTTTCATGGTTGCAAAGTACCTATTTTGGACTATTGTTAAAACTGAGGACATAATATTTTGAAATAACCCTCCAGGTATTGAGATCCCCTGCATGCCCTATTCACAACGGCAACCTCTAGCAGTTTGAGGAAAAATATGGAGACATTCTTGTTTTTCTATTGGCTAACATTTAAATTTCACATGGTGGTTTCACTAAATCTACCTGCATGGAAAGTGAAATCAAAAGATAGGGTCTCCATTTGCAAAACTTTTGCGCAATTCAGGGGGGTGGGCGAATGTCCCCCGCCCCCCTGTATCCGCCCCTGTTGTTTAATTGAATTGAACTAGGGTGCCCTACTTAAAAATGTTAAAAATCGACAAATTAGGAAAATTTAAATCCACAATTCTTGTCCACAAACCAGATAGACTAGAGGCGCAACTAGGACTTTTGCTAAGGGGGGCAATATACCCCCTCCAGGAGCTCATGGTGGGGCCCGTGAACCAAGGCCCTCCTGTAGTCCGCCCCTGCTGCGTGTTGTATGTCATTTTTTGTTAAATCGACCATTAGTTCTACTGATAAAGCATCATGTAAGAAGACGACAATTTAACTGTAATTCTCTTTTACATAATTCAGCGCGGCACTGTAGCAATGAGTCCCAGATTTTCAACAAAGAGCGTTCATCTGAAATTTAAACAAATTCTATCGAAATTCGAAATTTAAGTTCAAGGTATTGTTGGGTCCGACCTATTATACGATTCTTGGATCCCCCCACCTCCCTCCTCCTATTAATTTTGTACTTTTTCAACAATTTTCAACAAAATTAGTATATATTTAGGGTTAGGTTAGGTTAAGACACTTTCTGGGCCGAGCGCTGCGGCTAATATAAGGCTAGGGGGCCGAACGCACCGGCAAGGACAGGCTAGGGGGCCGAGCGCCGCGGCTGGCACAGGCTAGAGGACCGGGCGCTGCGGCCACATGGTCAATTATATCCATGTATTTTACATAAGATCCATGTACAAAATTGATAGGAGGGGGTGGGAGGGGAGGTCCAAAAATTTTATTTTAGGAATTTACCAAATTGTTTTATTGGGTCTGTCCTTATACGATTTTTGGACCGGGTCTGTCCTAGAGAACAATTTTTGGACAANAAAAATTCTTGGCCGAGCGCTGCGGTTAGGACAGACCTTCAATTGTACCAATTTTCAACAAATTAGTCTACATTTAGGGTTAGGTTAGGTTAAGACACTTTCTAAGCCGAGCGCTGAGGCTAGGACAGGTTAAGGGGCCGGGCGCTGCGGCCACAAGATCAACTTTATCCATGTGCGACTACCTAAAAATCGTTAAAAAATGATGTAAAAAATTGATAGCTAAGAAAATTGTATACTAGGAAACTACCGTTTTATTTTTATATTAGAAGAGCTGATGGAAAACTCTCAAATTCCAAGTAAATTGTTTCTTAGGTTTTATTTTGTGTAATAAAGGAAGCGGAACGAGTTTGATTTTTTAGTTCTTTTTCGTTATACTATCATTGAGAACAGATTTTTAATAGGGCCTTCTTATTAATAGGTACGGTTAGCCCAGAATATAGATATTACTCTACAATTAAAACAGCGACTCTCGACCGAATAGACCCATTTAAAAGTTGGATTTAGATCAGCTGACTTCTAGATCATGGCTAGTTTAATCGCTTGGTGGTACCAAATCATTCATTTTTTTAAAGCTAACTTTCAATTTTTGCCGTTTACATAGAAGCGAATATTGAAAAAATGTAACGAAGTTATTTATGATCTGTATTTAAGATAAGTATGTATGTTCCCGATCCTGGTCTAATGTCTAAAATACAAACTCTGCTCTCTGTTGGAGACTCTTTCATGGACACACAGGTAAAGAGTTCCCAAAAATCTGGACGCTAGGCCTTGGTTCAGTCAAAGTATAAGATTTTTGGTCCACCCCCCCCCCCCGTATCAATTTTGTACGTGACCTAAATTTCAACTTTGATTTAAGCAAAATTAAATTTTAATAAACGTAACAAAGTTAGGTTTGGTTTAAACAATTTATGGGCCAAACGCTGTTACTAGGACTAGGCAGGGGGCAGAGCGCTGCGTCCCTTTATTTCAACTATTTTTATAAAATTATTTTTTTGTTGTATTATTTCCTACAATCTGATGAATTATTTTCTCTAATTCAGATCTCTTGCTCTGACGGACCTATATTTTGGAACTCGCTTCTTCTCGCGGCATCAAGTAAATATCTTAAGGTACCCTTTTAACCTAGGATAATTGAGCGTATGGTTACGTTAATCGACCCTCTATTTATAGATGAGCATGTCCTATTCACAACGGCACCCTAATAAGGAGAAAATGAAATTTTTTTGCACGTTTTTCATTGTAAAAATTGATTTTTTGCAATTGCGGGGTTTCTGTAAAAGTGAATTGCGGATTTATGCTTCGGAAACTTTGGAGTAAGTTCGAATGAAACATTTTTCAGGATAGAAAAATGCAGTAATTTCCGTATTATTGATCAGAAAAGGTTAAAATACTCCTCTTTAAAATAGTCAAATAATCAATTTTTGATTTGTTAGATTTGATTATTAGGAAATGTTGGCCGGTTCTGATGCTTCAGATGATCTTGTTCTAATCCTTCCAAATTTCTCAAGAAATTTAGTTTTCCAGGTATACTAGCCACTAGGAAACACTTTTTATATAGATCGCTCACTTTCAGTTTATTTCGACGTTACAGTTGAAATCTTTAAAGTTACATGAAGCACTTGAAATCCATTTTAATTCTGTATTGGAGCTGAAACTTGATTACAAAATTACGTTTTATAAAACGCTATTGCTTTTTCAATTTTTAAACTCGAAATTCATTCGACACAAATCATTTGATAACTTTCCGTTCCATTTTTTGGTGTTCGGATATTAGGAAAGGTTACCCTAGCTTTGTGAATAGTGAACCTTAAACCGCAATTTTTTTATGAAGAGCCAAACAGTTATATTTAAATATATTAGAGCATTTATCTATCTGGATTTACGTTAATGAGTAGTTGACAACATTTTTCAATACGTAGAAAGTTAAAAATAAAAAAGTTTGTTTTATTTCTTAGAGTTTGCGTAAGTTGGTAGAACTTGGAACTCTAGAGTTTACGACGAGAGAGAAGGAGTTGCTTCATATTCTAGGGGTTGTACATAAGGTTGGCAGAAACAGTTACCATTTAAGCAGGAGCAAATACTCCCCCCCCCCCCCCCCTCCGGGAGAATGTATTTAAATTTTATAAATAATAAAATTGGGACGGGATCATTCAGGCTTTTTTTTTTTTACCGTGCCTCCGAAAAAGCAACATTTACTTAAGAAAACCTCAAACATTGCGCCTCATGAATTTTCTAATATAAATGGGAAAATAAATAATGAATGATGCATGGTTAGGTAATGTTATTACAATCTTGTCATCTATTTAGGGAGGTTCCTTTAATGATAAACTATTTAGGATGATTTCCGGTCTAAAGGAAAAGTTGTTCAAATCCTTAGTTCTTCTAATTTTCACAATCCACATTACAGGTAAGATTTTAAAACCGAAAATCTATTGATAAACTATTAGATTTATTGATAAAATCCGGATACAGGTACGGAAGAAAAGGCAAAAAAAAGCCAGCCAGACTATTTTAGGAAAAATGGAAATTTGAAATTGAAGAAGATAATCTTGATGTATTCTTTAATTACAATAAATCATAACATATATATATAAAACAAATCCTGACTTAAAAACGTTAATATTGATTTCATATTTCGGTTAGGTAACAACCCACTAACTTCATCATACAACTGGTTGTCCTTTAAATGGACTGTAAGTGTTATTTGAAGTGACTCTCCGGCCTACATTCATAGATGGCAATACCTTTAGAACCTTTTACTGGCCATCGAGGCCAGTGAACCTGTGTGTGTTTTTCTTTCTAAAAGTGCTCGAATTTCCGTGTGAACTCAACACAGGTCAAAAATACAGAATATTCTGCGCCCAAGGCGGCTTTTATTTTTTAAATGGAGGGTCAATTGAAATTACGTTTACATTTCCTTTGACAACCATTTGGAAAAGGTTCTGTAAAATAAGAAGTTAACTTTTAGACCTGTACTTGTGTCGGAAGGAGATGATGAGGATGATGAGAACGATGTTGACATTATCTTTGAAAATGGTAAGGTAAAAATGTCTTTACAGTTGTGCTGAATCGAAAAAATTCGAAACTTTATTTTTCACAAAGTGAAAATAGTTTTTTATTTGAAAAATATCATTTTAAAAGTAATAATCAATTGTTTATTATAAGGCTGGACATTTTTTTTGATTTTAATATAAAATTTTTATTTCCTTTAATAAAAAATTGGGAACTCTAAGGGGATATTTTCTATGTTGGGTCGTTGGTGTTGATCAAATTGTTTATGAATTTGAAATGATTAAAACAATAATTAAGTGACAAAGCAAAGAATTGATATTCAAGATGATTCGTTTCAAAATGCTAGAAAAATATGTTTTTTTTAAGACTCTGATGGGAGTGAGAGCAGAGATGAGTTGGACGGAAAGGATGATGAGGTTGAAATGACTGATGATGAAGATGAGGTTCGAATTACTGCTGAGGATGATGAGAATGAAAATAATACATATTTAAACTGGGAAGTATCTAAACTAGATGATGATGATCCTAATATGACCATAGGTAAACAAACTTCTGCCAAAATGTGTAAAAATTTTCTTAGATTTATTCAAAATTTTGAAACTTTTGCTTTTTTGAACACTTTGACTAAAAGGTTTTACTTTCCAAATATTTGTTTCAATTTTGTTTAATCCCCATCAAAATAATTCCAGTCAGCTAAATGCATTAACTAAATCGTCCAAACCTTCCAACTAGTTTGTTGCTTCTTTTTCACTACTAGGAAGGGTTTAGAAACATTTTGGACGATAATGCATCTGCAAGCATTTCCTGTTTCAAAAAATGATTCATTTTGATAAATTTAACCTAATTTGTTTAAACTCGATGTAAAGATATCATTAAAAAGAAATATTAATATCACGCTTTATGAAGAAAAAATCAAAAGTCAATATATTTTATTAATCTAAGGTTGCATATCCCCTGTATCGCTCTTGCTTCGACTTGTCGATGATTTTTTTCCCCTGATCAGATTCCTTGAGCTCTTATTACGATGGAATAACAGAGAAAGAAAAGCCTGAAGAAGAAACGAAAAATGTGGAAGCAACGAAGAAAGAAGTTAAGACAAAAACAAACACCTGCAGAGGTTGTAATAAAAGGTAAATATGTAAAGAATATTGAGGGTAATGTTTTTTATCTCTTTAACCTTCTGTTGTTTAACATCAATAAAATCAACTCTCTCCCCAATTCCAGGTATATCTCTGTCTTCTTTATTGTAATGCTCAAAATAAACAGCGAAATTTGTAGGTACTTATCCTGTGCTGAATTTGTAGTGGATCTAGGTTTATTTGTCCGCTCAAAAATATAACATTTAATTCTTATTATCGTGAAACCTTTTGTTAGAAAATACCCCTTTTGAAAAATAAATTATCTTATTTGGTTTGAATAGGTTCACTTAAAAAATGTATTAAAATTAGTTGGCTCAGGCATAAAAAATAGCAAAAAAAAATATCTGAAATCGATTAAAAAGTTTAAATTGAAAGTATGAACAACTTTTTGGATTGACATTAATATTCTTCAGGTTTGATAATTCTGAATATAAGGAACACATTGCTAAGTTTCCGGAGCATGCTAACAGCAAACTGAAACCTAGATCTGAACTAGTGTGCAGGCTTTGCAATATTGACTTCAAAATCAAAGGTGATTTTATGTCTTTTTAATAATTTTCATTCAGAAAAGTAATTCTTGATTATCTATTGTATTGCATCAAATGATCGAAATATAGAAATTAGTATGATATCTGTAAAGTTAAAATTTATTTAATTTTATATTTTTCAATAGGGGGGGAATTTTTCATATTGATATTTCTGAATTTAACTGTTGTTAGGGCTAACTGCTTTCCGTGAGCATGTGACGAAGCACAGGAACATGGATGGAGATTTCTCATGCAAGGAGTGCGGGAAGAAAACAAACAAATGGGGACACCTCATGCAGGTTAAAATTAAATCAAGGCACATATTTGATCGTTTACGTCGTTGCCTTGGCCGAATTTAAAGAATGTAATCCGCGGCTCAAATATGGTTGGTTACACTTAAAATTGTATTATTTTTTTTTAAGATCTAAGCCGGCGCTCAATTAGAACCGGTTTTTGTTGGATTTGAGACGCGGTTTAAATTCATTAAATTCGGACTCAGAGGTGTATATTTTCTTGAACCTGTTTTTCCTTTTTATTGGGAAATTTCACTTATTTTTTTCTTGTTCAGAACCATCAACATTGTAAAACATTCCAAGTAATAAAATATTTTTTCCCCCGAAAATATTAATATCTGGTTTTATACATTGTGGCCTAAAGAGATTTTTCAGATATTTGAAAATGAACACTTTTTCATATGAAAGGAACGGAACAGGGTTCATTGAAAAATAATCCCCCACCCTCGTTTAAAAATATTTTTTCCCAGGATGTTTGGTATCTTTAACATTTTCAAGGATTTATTTGTTAAATTGGCGGGAAAAATCATTTTAACAGGAAAATTAAATGAATTTTTGGCTCAAATGTAAGTCTTCTGTCCAATGTCCGCTTAAAAAAATAATTTTCCCCAGGGTATTAAAAATTATTAATTAATTCTTAAAAAATATTACCCTGCAACACATTTTGCGACTGAAAGATGCCCCTAATATCTGGAAATTATTATGTACAAACACTAAATTCACAGGCGCGGCATACTTGATCCTTGCTCAAACTTTTTGACCTTTATTTTGAGTGGTACGTACATTAAGTAAGTTGGGTTCTTCATGAAATATTGGTATCATGTGTAGATTCAAATTACTGAACAATCTTTTTAAGTCTTTAACTTTGATCAATGATATTTCTTGTATATGAAGAATTAAAAACTTATGTTTTCAGCACATGTACCGTCATGGATGGAAAAGACCGTTTAACTGTGACCTCTGTAACTACTCAACAATAAATAAATCCAACCTTGTGAACCATATCAATATTAAACATGAAAAACCGGACTCCAGGGACTTCATCTGCCCACAATGCGACAAACAGGTAGGCAGGATCATATTATGTATTAAACATTGTTAGCAGGACATGATACTTTGATTGGTAATAATAATAATATCTTAGTAAACCTAATTAAGATTTTATTCTCCTAAAGTTTGCGTTAATAGAATTGTGATCAATGTTGACTGACATCCTGTATATTTTTAGTATAAGATTCTGAAACCTAAAAATGTATATTTTCTAGTTTAAGAGCTCGAATATATTCCTAGTATAAGATACTGAAACCTAAAATGTATATTTTAAATTTTTTATTTTCAGGAGTTTGTCTCGTCAGGAGTTTGTCTCGTCAGGAGTTTGTCTCGTCAGGAGTTTGTCTTTCAGGAGTTTGTCTTTTCAGGAGTTTGTCTTTTCAGGAGTTTGTCTTTCCGGAGTTTGTCTTTCAGGAGTTTGTCTTTCAGGAGTTTGTCACGGCGCCTTATCAACTTCATAAAAAAACAATTTAACTTTTTTTATTAATATCGCGAAATATGGATAGCACCCACTATCTTTGCGAAGTATTGGATTTCAAGTCAAAATAGTTTAAAAGTTATATTCTGTTATGAAACCTGATTTTTAAACCACTGTGCCCCCTTTCATATATGTATCTCACATTTAAATCTAAAATTTTTAAGCCTCAATATTCAGAGTTTTAACGTTTTTAAAATGAAATTATAAACGAAATGTTTGAAGATCACCTACCACCTCTCACAGTGGGGTATTAGGAGGGGGGAAGGGGTCAGGAAAATTTATTTTACACCATAAACTTCTTATTCAAGTCAAATTGGACTTGTTTGCTATTAATATTTTTGAGATAATTGTAAGTTAAATTTGTTTTAATGTTGAGTGGAAGTTCCAAAATCCGTAAACACTCTTAAATTACCACCCCTGACCCCCAAAGAATTTTGCTGTGCCCCCACCCCATGAAGATATTTTACTGAGATGTGAATTCTGCGCTAAAACTTTTAAATCAGATCTGGGCTTGAGTCAACACAGGTTTGTTTGTTGCAAAAAAAACAGCTGTAAAAATATACATTTTTTAGAGTTATCCCCTAAGGCCGGGAGGCGGGAGGGAGTGAAATATTTTTTCGTAAACTTAAAACAAATTTGATCGTTTTCATGTATTTTTTCTAGATAATTGTTATAGACTTGACCTCTTTGATATGTATCTTTTGTGTATATATTTCTTTCCCATAAATTATTTCAAATTTTTTTGGCCCGCTTCTTTTTATATATTGTGCAATTCTGTCGTGGGAGTGAAGGCAACCTCCCTCGCACAGCTTTCGAACCTCATTTTACCTGTTTGCGGCAGGGGGCAAGGTCTTCGAACCTCCCCCCAAACAGTCCTCCGGGAATGATCTGCCGTTTATAATTATAAATTTCTACTTAAAACGGGACTAATTCAATTATTTAAGTACGGTAGTCCAACTATAGTATCCTTAACATTTTCATTACATTTTTTTCTTTTTTACAATCAAAGATCGGGAGAAAATAGCTTAGCTTTTATTTAATAGAATTTTTTCTCAACAAATCTTAGAATGGTTGGCGCTTTTTTATGAATAGCTTTTACTAATATGTAGACAAATGAAAAATATTCTTCATAAAATGTTTATTCTAAAAACATTCTAGATATTGAGATATTTTAATAAAACAAAACTCTGTTATAACCTAATGATTTTAAAACTATTAGCGCTTTTTTTTACAAGCGCTACAGATTTAAAATTCATATAGATTGAAAGATAATTACAATTTCTTTAATTAGAGTGTAGCAAAAATTGCCTTTTATTGTTGTTTAATGCATTATTTTGCAGGTAAACTAACTTAATATAAATATTTTTGTTTTCAAACAGAATTTGTGTTATGACGTAACAGATTCTTAGACCAATTAGAGCATAGACTAGGAAATCCTAACCAATCACAAACATAAAATACAAAGGGAGAGAGGTAGGGGAAAGAGGAAACAGAAACGCGATATCAAAAAAAAAAAGTTTTTTTCCAGCCCGAACTATGATTGTCGAATAGAAAAAAGAATACTATGAAAATGTTAAGGATACTATAGATGGACTACCGTGCTTAAATAATCGAATTAGTCCCGTTTTAATTAGAAATTTATGATTATAAACGGAAGACTGTCTGGGGGAGGTTCGGAAGCCCTATGGGGACACAAACTGTTGCAAATAGGTAAAATGAGGTTCAGAAGCTTCGAGGGAGAGGTTGCTTTCCCTCATTCCTCTGTCTGGTTTGGTTCTTTGTTTCCTACTAATATCAAAACCGATTGTCCCAAACTTTTTGTGGAAAGGACCCAAGTAAAGTCTCTTAAAGTTTAATTTGATAAAATTCCTCCAGTTATCACTGTCAGATAAAAATTCGAATAAAAACTTTTTATTGCAAATAAGTTTATTTTCTAGAAGAATACATAATGGTGTGCTTATACACTGTAAGGTGTGTGACGAAGCCTTCCAAAGTCTTCATGGTTGCAAACGGCATGAGAAGGTACAAAAATATTCGATATTTGGTAAAAATTAACGTAAAATAAAAATGAATTTTAAGCATCAAGTCGCGCGAAAAAAGAATAAGTTAATTCCTATAATTTATTCCTTCAACTTTTGTTTGTTAAAAATGATAATTCAGACATTACATTTTTCATACATCTAACCAAAATTTTACTATTTATTTTCCCTAATTAACTATTGGGAGTTGGGACCCTTAAAACAAACATAAATATCTTAGCTACCAGAATGTTTGTTTTTAGAGTGAATGATTTTCCCCATACCTTACTTTTATGTATATCTCTTTGTATTAGTTGATCCATAACTACCATCTAGTATTAGTTGATACATAACTGCCATCTAGTATTAGTTGATCCATAACTACCACCTTGTATTAGTTGATCCATAACTACCACCTTGTATTAGTTGAAACATAACTACCACCTTGTGTTAGTTGATCCATAACTACCACCTTGTATTAGTTGATACATAACTACCACCTTGTATTAGTTGATAATCTGTGGACTTTCAAGTGAAATTATTGTTTGTAGAGAACACATTGGAAAAAAGATCATAAAGACAATCCTTCATTTCTTCGTTGTGACAACTGTAATGTTTCTTCATTTAATACAAAACATTTACTAAGGTATTTCCTAAATTAGCTTTTTTACTACCAGGGGTAAGGGAAGGGAAAAGGTAAGAGAAAAGGGGGAAGAGGGAAGGGAAAGGGGAAGAGGGAAGGGAAAAATGGGAAGAGGGAGGAGAAAAGGGGAAAGAGGGAAGGGGAAAAGGGGCAAGATGGAAGGTAAATGGGTCAAGAAGGAAGGGAAAGAGACAAGAGGGAAGGGAAAGGGGCAAGAGGGAAGGGAAAAGGGGCAAAAGGGAAGGGAAAGGGAGGAATGGAAAAGAAGAAAAAGGGAAGGGAAAAAACCACACAAAAAAATAACAAAAAACTCAGGGGGACCTTGAAGTTGACCTTTTTTAGGCAACCAAAACGCTCTATTTTACTACTACATTTTCTTTGCCGCAGCCAAACTTCGAAACCTGTAAATTATACCTGTTTTGTAAGTTTTGGGGAAAAAATATGATTCTGAAAAATATAAGTCTCACAACTAATATACACCCCTGTTTACTACAGTGGTAACCAAAAAACTGAAATGATTATCGTCTTCGTTAATGCAATACAAATTTCGCTGAAGATTTGAAAGTTAGTAATCATCATAATTGATAAATCACTTATGCATCATATTACTGGATTACTGGATTACTGGACAATTTTTCGCTGGGAGATCACTTTTGTGACATTTTCAGCGAGTCAATATATCTTTTTTGTTTCTACTGATAGTGCATTAAGTTAAACCAGGGATCTTGGCGCCCCTGACACCTTCACCAGGGATCTCGGCGCCCCTGACACTTATCACATTGAAGAAATTTGTTTGTCATACATATTCTTAAAACTGGTCAATGAGGTGGCATTTTTAATGACTATTGGCAAACTGTTCCATCTTTTAATAACTCTCAAGCTACAGAAGTTTTTCCTAATATCTAGATTGCACTGTTTTGAGTTGAGGTTCATATTTCATGTCGAAAATCTTGTTTCTCCCTGAGCTGTGTCTACAGATCTTGTAAACCATGTACCTTCTTTAACATTATCATGCTTATGGAGAATCAGTCTGGATTAAATCCCCTCTTATTCTTCTTTCTTCAAAGGTAGTCAAGTTGACATCCTTTAATTGATCAAGGTATGAGGTACTATGGAGGCCTGAAGTCATTTTTAAAACTCGTTTTTGAACACTCGGAAGCAGATCAATATCTGATTTAAGCCAAGGTGACCAATAATTTAGAAGGAAAGTACAGAGGAAAATAATCATTCCACTAATTTCTGGTCACCACTGCCAATAAAAATTTAGTGTCTTAAGACTTCCAACAAATCAACTGCTGAAATATTTTTTTTCTAAATTAAATAATTCTTTAATTTCTGTATTCTCAGTTACATGTTGGGGTTTGAGAGAAGTAATTATAACCCTGATATTTGACACATTTTGAATATTAAATATTTTTCTAGGTTGCATAGAAAGGATTGCCAGCTAGAGAAGGCATCAAGTCTCAGAAGAATTTCTCTTCTCAGACCAGAAGACAAACTTGAATATAACTCTGGTACTAAAATCAAGCTTAAGCTGAAGGTAAAGTGGAGGAAGAGGAGGGATTCTCAAATTGAGATAAAAATTCACTTCAGAAAAAGAAAATGCCAATGTTGAGAGGGATTATATTTTAAATCAATTTTAAAGACGACAGATAGCAGAAACGTTGGAAATCAATATCGAAACATATATTATGATAAATTAATACTTTCTCATAATTTGTTAGATCTAGATAGATGGAATTATAATTCTAACTTATTAAATTGGTTTATGATTTAAGATTCATTAACTGTAGCAAGACGGCTGAGACGTCTGGAAAGCATTCAACTTGGCCAATGGCTAAGCTAAATTCTCACAATTTTCAACAAAGTTAAATTGTTAAAATTCTCGATTGAAACAAAACTTTCCAATATGACCTACCAGGAAGTTTCAACAGTGTTTTTCTACATTTTCAGGGTTGGAGTGTTCTAAGGAGTGAAAAGGAAATAATCAAAGATCTTAACTGTAAATGCTGTGATACACTATTTAAGTAAGTGATGATTACAATTAGTACTTTTTTAAGAGGTGATTGGGTCGTTTCAGGAGGGTATACAGAAATTTTTCGGGGGGGGGGGCTTACTACCTGTTGAGACTTAAAAACCTCCTGGAAAACACAGATTTTACTGATCCAGAGGGGTGGGGGGTGGTGGCGGGGTGGAGGTAGCTTAGCCTCATAGCCCCCCCACTGTACACCTTTGGCGCTATTTTACAACGCCTGAACTTGATATTAAAGATATTGAAAGATTTTCAAAAAGAATTAACTTATAATTCAGGAAAAAGGACGTGTTATTGAAATGAGTGGATTTTTCATGAATGCCTTTTTCTTCTAAAATTCTTGAGCTCAGAAAAAGTTTGACAATACCAGATAATTGTGCTCAAAGGTTTTTTTTTCTGAATGTTTGGTGGATCAGTTTTATTAATAAAGGTGTGATAGTTTTGTTCACATTGTTATGATATTGTAGGTACGAGTATGAACTTCTGGCGCACAAAATACTGAAGAAAAATGAAGGTCTTTACTGTAGTTTTCAAGCTTGTGCTTTTTCTGAAAACAAACAACTTAGTTCTCAGGTTGGCAAAAAATATTGAAAAGAGGTCCCGAAAAGAACCTCAACCCCCCCCCCCCCCCCCCCCC